CATTCGAGAAATATTGAAAATCAGTCGATAGAAAATAATTGAGAACAACAACTCAGTCAAAGAGGGGCTAAGTAAGAAGCGAAGGCGGACTTACATTCATCTAACGCTCACTTTGAGACCTCAAAGTATTTATTACAAGAAAAAATTCAAAATATTTCTGCCAATCTCCATCTATGAATATTTAACAATATTTTATTGCCATTATAATATATACTCTCCTTCAAATAAATTTCAAAAATTCATTATTTTTCAAAAAACACTACCCAAAGAGATTAATATCAACCCCACCTATAACGGTTACATGGCATACCACGCAATAACAATAACTCGTAAAGTCAAAAGTTCAATAAGCTACTAACAACATACTAATTTGCATTCGCACTTTTGTGTAATTTGCCCTCGAAAAAAGTTCAAAAGGGGAGGCAGGAGCTGGAGCGCACACAATCGCATGGGAAACTGGAAATGTTTACCAGCGGAAAAAAAGATAGAAGAATGCTAGGCAATTAATTGTGGTAAATGTGCTAACAAGAATGGCTTAGAGAAAAAAGAACTAGAAGAAACAAGAATTCAATCAGCAAAAAAAAAAACAAAAAAAAAGCAGCAACAGCAATCATAAAGGCGGCCAAACTTCGGGTGGCGTAAACACCAAAGCGCGAGCAGAGCGAAGAAAATAAGAAAAAAAATTTAACAAGTTGAAAGACAATTGTTGTATGCTGTTGCAATTGCGTAGCTACAACAATTTCAAAATACAGCAATAAACAACAACAACACGAATAACAATAACGGCATTCAAACTGCAACAGCTGTGGCAATGTGCAAGAGTCCAACCAAACATTGAGAGCTGAAAATCAAAGGCCAATGGAGCGCGTTGCGCTGTTGCACTGTTGCAAGTGCGCGTATGTGCTGCAGATATGCTATGGCTGTGTATGCTTAAACAATGTGTATATACACACATATGGATGTAAACTTTGTATTTGGTTTGTACGATTGCAATCTTTAACTGTTGCTTTGCATTTGTTTTTGGCTGCGTGTTGCAGGTTTTCTGTTTCTTTTTTCTTTTTTTTTTGTGTTTGTTTTTTGGTTTTGAGAGCACGCAGTTGCATCGAGTAAATAATTCAAAATTGTAATATCTTGCTCCGCCCGCTCGCACTTGTACTAGGGTGTAGTAGTTACTCATACGCCATGTGTTGTATTTAGCTTTGCTCTAGTTTTTTCTGTATATTTTTCCCTTCCACCATTTGGCATTTAGCATATGGTTTGTTTATTATTGTAACCATTGTTTTACGTTTCTCTTACTAATTTTCTCAATTATTTCACTTTTCTTTTCTTTTTTGTTTTGCTGTATTCTGTCATTATTAGCACCATTGCTTTGCCAATAATTTTCTGTTCTGTTTGCCTAGCGAAGATCAATTGTTGCACATCAAATTTATTCTTTGTTCTTGAAGTTGTTACTGTTGTTGAGTTTATATTTAGTTTCTGGTGGTGTGAAGAAAGCGAAGACGCATAAATTGACCTTGGCATGTGCGAAAGGTATTGTTTATACCATCAGCACTCTAGGTACTCCGGGTGGTTCAGAGGAATCGCACTTGCAATCGTGCAGAAATATTTGCGCAAAAAAAATAAATAAATAAAAAATATACCTAAAATGTTGCTAATTAGCAAACACACTAGGGATGACGAATATGAGAGGTAGAGTGCTTGATTGTAAGGATAAGTGTTTGCCATTAAATTATTAAAATCATTTTGAGTAAGTAATTGCAGTGGCTGGCTCGAAAACAAGGGGCTTAACAAAAGTTCGGTAATACTTCGGACTTTCAATTTGTTTTTTTTAAAACCAAAAATTCCAAATCCTTTGAAATTACCTTATTAGTATTCATTTCAAATTTTAGACGATCGACCATAATGGAGACGTAAGATGGCTGAGGATAGAAACTATTTTTAAGTGGTACCGAAGATTCCAGATCGGACATTTTTCCGCAGAAGACGACCCCCGAGAAGGTCGACCAAAATCTTCCACTGATGACGTCACTGTAGCTCTGATTAAATCCACAATTGCCGAAGACACACGACTGACATAAGAAAAGATTGCTAATGAAATGGCTTAAGTGCAATCGCTGTATCGAGAATATTAAGTAACCAACAAGGATACAGGTAGATACACGTAGACACCGCTAAGCAAACCGAATTAACAACATTTCGCAATTCATTCCTGCTTTTCTCAGTTTGGTGGTAATTGGAAATACCAGGTCTTTCCCTACTGATCTTTCGAACGGAGTAGAGTTAGACTGCATTAAAGTTGTAATATTCTTATCCAGCCGGATTGAAGCAGCTGTTTCTAGATTCGCTGAACTATGTATGCTACTTTCTCTGCATTTTTCGTACAGCTCATTGTTTCAGCGTCTGCGGTATACTCCGTTCCCACCTCGTGGAGGACCATAAATCTTACTCAAAACCTTTTTATCGAAAACTTCTAACGCTGACTCATCAGATGTTGTCATCGTCCACGCTTCTGCACCATATAGTAGGACGGGAACGATGAGGGAATTGTAGAGTTTGGTTTTCGTTCGTCGGGAGAGGACTTTACTTTTCAATTGTCTACTCAGTCCAAAGAAACAACTGTTGGCAAGAGTGATTCTGCTATGCTGTTTCCTAGATAGGCGAAGTTAATGCAGGCCGCTAGCAACGCTATTAAGAGAGTATGGAGTCGCATGACTTTAGCCAAGGTCTGGTAGAAAAAAATGCGCAGGAGTTGTAGGCAAAATGTGGGGACAGTGGATCACGCCCACAAAATAAATGAATTAATCTGTTAGTGACTGGAATTCGATAGACAGGGTCTAATGTTATTTGGTTCAGAAGGCCTGTAGGGTCTTTAAGCAGCAGTGAACAAAAGGCCAAAAGGGACACCTTAATTTGTGTAGAGAACAGCCATAAGCTTCAAACTAGCGACATAATAAACAGTGCAGCAGTACTGGTTGATCTTATGTAGTGCATTTGGTGACACTATGAATGTATTGGGTTGCCCAAAAAGTAATTGCGGATTTTTCATATAGTCGGCGTTGACAAATTTTTTCAACGGCTTGTGACTCTGTAATTGCATTCTTTCTTCTGTCAGTTATCAGCTGTTACTTTTAGCTTGCTTTAGAAAAAAAAGTGCGCGAAATTTTGTTTACATTTGTTTGTTTGGCGTCAATTTTATATGGAGTCCACAAAGGAGCATTTTCGTCATATTTTACTTTATTATTTCCGTAAAGAAAAAAACGCGGAGCAGGTTGCTAAAAAGTGATGAAGCCTTAAAAGGAAGACAGTGACAAAATTGGTTTTGCAAATTCCGTTCTGGAGATTTTTCACTTAAAGATGAGCCACGTTCAGGTCGGCCAAATGAAGTTGATGATGACCAAATCAAAGCATTAATCGAATTGGATCGTCATGTAACTGAGCGTGAGATTGGAGAGAAGTTAAATATACCAAAGTCAACCGTTCATTATCACTTAAAAAGTCTTGGACTGGTGAAAAAGCTTGATATTTGGGTACCACATGTATTGAAAGAAATTCATTTAACACACCGAATCAACGCTTGTGATATGCACCTTAACCGCTATGAATTCGATCCGTTTTTAAAACGAATCATAACTGGAGATGAAAAATGGATTGCTTACAACAACGTTAGTCGAAAACGATCATGGTCCAAGCATGGTGAACCAGCTCAAACCACTTCAAAGGCTAATATCCACCAAAGTATCGTCTAAGGCTCGATGGGTCAACCAGTTAAACCTAACCTAATTTACGCTCTTCTTTACTTAATTTGCCATAGCTGGAAATTTTAGACGATTTTTGTTTAATATTTTCCATATCAAATCATACACTTAAAACCGAATACTTGAAGAGATTCTTATCTGTATTTTTTGTTTTTTTATATATATTCAATTATATTTTTTGTTTTATTCCTTTTGTTAATAATGAATTAATTAACGTGTTTGCTACTCAAAATTTCTTAAAACATATGCACATTTGTTTTTATTTTTATTATTAACACTATATACAGACACAAAACGCTTAAGAGTTGTCTCTCCAAGACACTTATCTCACTCACTCAATCACAAATTAATTAATAGTTGCCAAAAAGGTTTCGAATTCCGCTGATAAAAAATGGCCAGTTTCAATTTCCATTATTTTTACGAGCCTTAAATTGATTTCTTTTTACGATTTTTAAAGGAAAATAAATATATACTAGTTTATATATATGTATATAATAATAAAAGGCAAGCTTTTGTATTGTATAATAAAATTGTTATACAAAATATTTAGATAAACAGTAAAAATATTTTGTGAATATTTATTAGCTGAAAATATGTATGTAACATTATTGCTTTGGGTATTTATGCACAAGCGTTTGTATATTTAACAATTTGCCACTCAACAAACCCCCATAAATAAATTAATTAATTAACCATGCCGTTGCAGCAAAGTAGAAGAAAAAATAAACGGAAAAGTGACAAGAGAAATAAATGAAATAAAAGCACCAACAGCTCAAGCTGTGCGCGCTTTGTAAAACCTGTCAATATTAATTTATCAAAAAAAAAAAAAAAAAAAAATTGGATATGAAACTGGAGCGCTTGTGCTGCTTGACGCTTGTCGGCATCTGTCAAATACCTCAAATATTTTTATTGGCCCATTTAAATTAGCGCCTAATTGTCATTGATGAAATTAGTGATGACCAATAAATGTTTTTATATTTTCTTCTTAAATTTTTTTTTGATTTTTTTTAGCTTCCGTCATTAGCAACGGTAGCTATGAATTATTTATGATTCAATTTTATTGAGTGCATTAAGAAATTAAAGGAAATTACATATGTTTAAACAAATAGTAGTAGAATTTAGTCGTAAAATTATATAAATTTTTTTTTCTAATTTTTAGTAAATATATATATTATTTATGTACATATATACTCATTTATAGTCTATATATTTTTTTTAAATTACAGCAGTGCGTGTTTTACTCACGTTTGCATACGCGCCGATGATTTAACGGTTTCGATGGATCACGATAGTAGCCCTCCTTACAGTAGTGGCAATGTCGGCCAGTAGTGTAGTGTCGACAATTTTGGCAAACGCCACCGGAGATGCGTCCGGATAGTTTAAAAAGTTCCATATTAAAGCGGCATTGGCGAGCATGATTGTTGCAATTGCAGACTGGAAAGAAAAAATAAAAATAAAAGGTAAATACTATAAATGTATACATACATACGTATGTAGGTGAAATAAAAATAGAAATAAATAAATAAATAAGTTTTTAAGCAAATATTTACTATTATTGCATATATATAATATTTAATTTTACTCAATAAGCGAAAGTGAGCAAATAACATTAACAGTTACGGGTGCGCGACTTCGATAAAATATGTTAGCGATGTGCCTGAATGTAGGCAATGTTATGTGTTTTATGTCATAAATCGCCTGTTGCCTACATTTAGTGGCTGAATTTCCTATCGAACTCTTGCGCAGTGAAGAAGTTAGAAGAATTGAAAAAAAAAAATTTAAAAACAGCTCTTAATTGACTAAATTCGGAAGTGGAATAAAACTAGTGATTTAGACATCTTAGAATTAAATTAACTAAAAATATAAACTAATATTATAATATAAATATAAATACAAAAAAAAAAACGTCCTTTAGTAGATGGGACATTTTTCTTTTGTAACTGAAAATTTTTTTATACTCTCTTTTTCTAATTGGTATCGATAGGAGATATTTTGAAATGCTTGATAATACTGGAGAGGTTGATCCAATCGCGAGAGGCGACATCCGAATAGGTTGAGATATTTTGAAATGCTTGATAAAGCTGGAGAGGTTAATCTAATACCGAGAGGCGACATTCGCATAATGTAGCAACATGCCGAGTCATGATTGGGTAGTTATGATATTTCTTTGGAATGGTATCTCCGTAGGCTTCGTTTTGAAATTTTTAGACAATTTATAAGAGCTTTTGTGAAATAAACAACTCTTTCAAGATTTAACCATGGGTGCCCACATTTTGTCAAGTTGCTACCGTAGAATACCTAGATACATATGTATATGCTTATCTGTAGAGCACAACCTGCTACAAAACTATGTTAGAGTTCAAAAATATAGTAAATAAGTTTAGGGCAAGCCCTACTCTATCGAAAACTCATTCTTCAGCACAAGTTTTAGCTTTGCACAATTTTTTTTCGAGCTCCATTCTGCCATTATAACAAAATGGTGGAAAGAATATTGTAATTTCTATTAAGAGGTAAGGAGTAAGAGGTAAATAGTTAACCATTTCGAACTGCCTCAAATATGCTTACCTTTGCTCGCTCTCCTGAGCTAAAGCTATGAAATAGAACTCCACCAGTAGGACAGATGGCCAAAGTCATTCCTTATATTGTAATCCCACAGACCTGTCTTGATAATATTAGTTATAGATTACAGTGGTAGAACTCAAATTTTTACCCAAACCTATCTCAAAAGCGACCTTCTATCGATTTATAATAAGCAATAAAGTGAGCTAAATGCCATTCTAGCCGAATAGTTTTCGGGCAACATGCTCAACTCTTTTCACCCCCTCCGGCGGAGCCAATAAATAAGACTGCCGAATTTTGGGAACAGAAAACCGACGCGTCATTCACGAAGCAAAACTCCATGACTGAAAAGTCAGTTTTTGTATTTTGGCTATGGCAGAATAGCCTCTAAGAGAGTGAAATTAGGTAAAAATTATCGAAATTTTATGTATCAAAAATACAACTCTCCCTACGTGTTTTCTTTTTTTTAGAAGCACTAAAAGAGTCTACTTTATACAAAGAATCCTTATCATAGAATCCTAAACCAATCCCTCCAAGCCAAGTATAGACTATTGAAGGTCTTTTCGAGCCAATCGTTCCTAGGAAAGAGCACATAATTGAGCCGCTTAGCACCAAGTTGTGCTTGTAAAGATTCTCCAAATATCCCGCAGAGATGGAGAGTCTCAATTCTTTAACAAATTGCAACGCTCTTTAAGCACAATCATTTCCTAATTCACCATTAAACCATCAACTCGGATTGCTATCATCGAAGCATGACAAATTGCTGCTGAAATAAAAATCACCGTTAAATAAATAAGTACAAAAAATCGTGTAAATCACTTTTTAAATATCTGATTTAAGAATGAAAATAAAGGAAGGCAGCTCCTTCCGCTTAAGGCTAACCAACAGGGAGTAGAGCATTAGTACGTATTAAAATCCTTGCCTCAACTGTCACTGACTTCCTGTTTAAATATGTCAAATAAATCCCTTAAATAAATATGTTTTCTTGAAAGCCTACAAATATTTGACATTTGCTTTATGTCGGTGGTGTATTAAACGACATCGTTATTGTTGTTGTGGTTATTGAGCGCCCACACTTCACACGGATAGCTTTTTTTGCATTGAATTCTGTTTTTTCCTTTCCTAAGCGCGTTGATAGCATTGGCATTTAATGTTTGTTACCGTTAATTTCCCCAGAGTGTAATGTGTAAATCTCTATTGCAATAACAACAACAACAGCAAACAAATACATTGATAATAGAAAAGTTCAATGGAGAGACATGAATAATGCTGCTTTCATTGATGAATGTTTAGCGATTAGCGTACGCCGCACACGCCGGCCTCCAATTTCAGCTAAAAAAAAAAAAACAAAAAAAAATAAAAGGAATGAAAAAACCACGGATTCTCTGTGCGTTGATATTTATTGAGCTTTTGTTGCAACAATTCATCTCACACAATTATTTTACTGTTATTTATTGTGGAATATTTCTGTTTATTTATACGACTTGTCTCATTTATCATATCGACGTTGGGAAACGAAGATTCTTCTCTTTGACTTTTCCTCCAACAATACATATTTATTGTAAATAGATTTCTCATATTGCTTTCTCTAGGGTTGGAATTTTCTTTCTTCCTTTCCTTTCTTTTTTGATGATTTTCTTTCATTTTTTTCAACATTCAATATGAAAAATTATTTATTCTTATGCAAATTACGTTGTGTTGGCTTAACGGTAAATAATCAAGAGCTTTGTGGCAGGACAAAAACATACGAAAATCGTTTGACGTAATTGCGGGCTTGCGATTGATGGAAGGCAATAAAAATTGTATCAAAAAAAAAAAAAAAAAAAAAAAAAATCCAAATATTATATTATTGTAATGAGCAAAATGGGAAGGCGTTTAGTAATATATAAATTTTTTTTTGCTTTGGGAATCCGGGCACGAAATCAGCTGGCTTAGTAGCGAAACACGTTTATATTTTAAGCTCTTCTCTGCTAATTATTCCTACTAAAAGCAAAGAATTCCAACATTTGAAATCTGAAAAGTACTGAGATTTATGCTGTTCTCCGAAAAAAAAATTATATTCGATATAAAACCTTGTTTCCTTTAAAATGATAAATGTTGCTATTTTTTCCTTTATCACACGGATTTTCAACTCTGCTTTGAATGCCTTCTTTGTCACTTCCAGACGCTTAAGGGCTCCGTTTTTTTTAGGGCCAAGCTCTGCGTTTTCTGCGTTGAATCGCTTTCCTAGTTCCACCTGCCACTGCTCTCTCATTTTGAAATGACGATTGTTGTTAACCTCAAGAATTGTGCTTTTGCTAGAAATCAATTGCTACTCTTGCCATGGCGCTCACGAAAAGAGATTTGAAGAGCAAATTAAGAGTGTATCACATTGCCAAAAATTAGCCCATTCTCTCTCCGCAGCAGACGGGCATTTGTGAGTAATTAGAAAATATAAAAATCAACTGAATATAGTAGAATATTCGTAAAAACCAAGAGCGAGTTCCATAGAGTTTCTGTAGCCCGGTTAACGGTAAAAGCTTTCCCCAGACTTTCGTTTCGAAACATTTTTCAGTAAAGTTTCTATATTCATGTGAACAACATAATAAATCAGAATCAGCGCAAATGTTGTATTGATAACCGAATAGTCACTAATCACGGTACCGAAGATTTTAGGAAAAATTGTCCTCTCCAACACTCTTAACGACACACTCCGTGCTTCTGCACCTTATACAGTATGAAGCCTTGCCAATATAGTAAAGTTTCGCTAGCCAAATCCAATAATGCTAACTTGAGGTACAGCAGGGGTAACCTCAAAGGCATAAGAACTCGTATATTCCAATTTAACAACAGGGTATCTATCGGAGAGATGTGATGACCTAAGCCAAGATAGAAAAGAATAGTGAAAACCCAAGTACTCTAGCTAAGGTAATAAAATGCTATGAGTGATAGTATCAAAGGCTTTGGAAAAATCGATACAGACGACATGAACTTGTTATGCCTTCTTAAGAAAAGGAATGCAATAACGGTAAAGACAAGATTGGTTAGTGACACTAGAACGAACGCTGACAAAACCATGCTGATGCGGGCTAATGGAGCATTTAACCGCAAAAACAAAGTAATTTATCTTTTACCACTTTCTCGATAAGTTTCGAACAAATCGATAATTTAGATATAGGCCTATAATTTTTAACAGTGTCTTTATTACCAGACTTCAACAACTTACCAGGAGAGATAGAAGCAATTTTCCAACGATTAATGAGAACATCAGACGACAAGGAGACGCCAGTCTTCACTATACCCCTCTCGTAGAAGGCTAGGCAATTTTCACAGACCTCTCTTGAGGCCAACTTCTCACCATTAAGCGCGTTGGCCATGGACAGGAAAATATGGTGATCACTTGGTGCCAGGTCCGGACCCTAAGGTAAACGTATTAGGACCTCCCACCCGCCCTCCTGGAGCTTTTGGCGCATCACCAAAGACGTGTGTGGCCTGGCGTTGTTCTGATGGAACACAATTCGGCCTCTGTTGATCAAAGATGGCCTCTTCTGGAGGACAAGCGGTCAATTTGTTGGCAGTAGAGGGTTGAATTGAGCGTTTGGCCATAGGGGAGCAGCTCGTAGTAGATGATTCCTTGCCAATCCCGCACAGCAAAACCTGGTGCATCTTTGAGATCGAAATTACCGGAACGGAACTTAGTACACCACTTTTGTGCTACACGTTCGTTTACAGTATCAGGCACATAAACTAAATTGATTTGATCGAAGAAAAAGTGTAAAATTTAGCGAATTTTCTCTTTGCTTGTTTCCATCTTTGACGAGCGCTCACAGCGTACTGAGTCAACCAATCGAAAAACTGGAAAAGCCAAACTTTTAGCGCGAATAAACACGTTTTCA